AGTTCCAAAACAGAATCTTTTAAAGGGCTTCATCAGACATAAAGCAAAAGGATTTTCTTCCTTGAGTAGCCTATTTAATGGACTATATACACAAAGAGGGTTGGGCAAGAATTTGGTTTTGGAGCTCTGGTTTGCTAACCCTCTTCTAAACTCCAAATCCCAATGCCTCTCACAGGTTCTTGTCTTTCAAAAACTTGTGTGTTTTCAGTCCCACGAGTCCTTTCTATCTAGTCCACCCTCAGAGTCAGCAAGGAAAACAGAGACACTGGTGTCTAAAAGAATGGAGCTGGGACAGAGAATAGTTACTGGGTTGGATAAAGCAGACACAATTAGGTTCTGTTTTTTCAGGGCAAAGCCTTTCCCAGCTTACAAAACTACTAAAATACATTAAAAGTCTACAAACAAGTCTGAAGACACAGGAAATTCAAACCACTGCAAAAAACAAACAAACAAACAAAAAAAAACCTCTATAAAACATAAACCGGAACATAACTTCAATGGAAAATTCCAAAACAAATACCATATTTTTCGCACCATAAGACACACCTCTCCATAAGACGCACCAAATTTTTAGGAGAAGAAAACAGGAAAAAAATTATCTGGGAATTTCGACCTGCTGGGCCAGCGGGGATGAGGGTGGAGGAAGCCTCCAAAGGATCCGAGTGTGCCTTCCAGGACCCTTCAGGGCAACAGAGATAAGGAGGTCGATAAGCCAAGTCCAGATCAAAAACACGTTGAAGAAAACAGAATTTTAACGCAGCTCTAACCAAGAGGTTCCAACTCTGTGGGCGGAAAAATGGAACTGAGGTTTGGCGGGCAGAGCATGCGCTGTACAGGGCAACTCAAACTTTGTTACTTTTCTTATAGCTCTAGAAAGTTCCGAGAGGCCAGCGCTGGCGCTGTCTTAACCCACTGGTGTGGATTGATAGAGGCCACATTGAAGAAAATACTGGTAATGGTAGGGACATGTGTATTTTTCTGTGAGTAAGGTCAAAAGATGAGCAGCCACTACTGAAAACACCCAATTTATATCATGCCACATTCTCATACAACTAAAATGCACATCTATGTGCATGGCCATCGAAGCAGACCTTAAAACTCATGTATCTTTCAAATATTCTGGTCCCAAACTGTTTGGGTAACCATCTCTAAAGTGGATACCCCTGATATACTAATAGTTTTCCATACCTATCTTTTTACTTAAAAGGGAAAAGGGGAAAAAAGAGCACTCTAGGCACCTCACAGAAAAAAATATACAAAATGTAAGAGCAATAAAAATAATGTATAACATGAAACAGCACCTCTACCCAAGAAGAAATTGTATGGATAATTAACTGACATAATGGATATACTATCTGGTGCAACTCTGGTTGCCGAAGGCTTGCATAGTCTTTTATCAAAATTGAGCCCCAAAACGAATATAAAGAAAGGTTACTTACCTGTAACGAATACTAGTGTAAACTTTTGGGAATCATCTGGTCCCACAAACATCTCAGAGCTGTGTTCTGTACATGTTCAAGCTTCTGAACCACTCTTAAATGCATCTCTAATTAGAAGGGAAACACAGGGATCCACTGCAAATACAATGAGAGCATGATTAACTGAGGTAAATCCTGCTTTCTCCAGATAAGGTTTGTATGGGCCTCGGACACAATGATAAACTTTTGGGAATCATCTGGTCCCACAAACATCTCAGAGCTGTGTTCTGTACATGTTCAAGCTTCTGAACCACTCTTAAATGCATCTCTAATTAGAAGGGAAACACAGGGATCCACTGCAAATACAATGAGAGCATGATTAACTGAGGTAAATCCTGCTTTCTCCAGATAAGGTTTGTATGGGCCTCGGACACAATGAACAATTGCCACCTGTGACATTATCACAATTACACTGCAGATAGGCAATAATATACTAAATAAATAATATCAATTGTGGGTCCTGATGGCAATTTTTAGAGTACCTATTTTAATTGTATTTAATTGTTTTATCTTTTTATTGTATTTTTATTGTATTTTAATTGTTGTAAGCTGCCCAGAGACCTTTGGGTAGAGTGGGCAGCATATAAGTTAAATAAACAAACAAACAAACAAACAAACAAATAAATGTGGATGGATAGAAGGGAAATGGCAATTTTTTAGCTGAAATCCAGCTCCATTACTTATGTCATATAAGGCTGATGTTACCATTTTGAATTATATTGTCACAGTTGTTTTTATTTTATTATATTGCTTTTACTTTTATGCCTTACTGTTAGCCGCCCAGAGCAGACTTCGGTCTAGATGGGTGGGGTATAAATCAAATAAATAAAATAAATATTAAAACAAAATGGCAAAAAGTGTGCTACTTATATACTGCCCCATACGCCTTTAACAATTGAAATCACTCCTGTTATACACTATCGTAATTTTAAAAGATGTGCCTTCATACCTTTCATGACAGCAGGGTGAGTCCAAACTGTAACTCTGAGGGGAATATATGCCAGTCTGAGAGACAAGGCACTCTCTCCTGAATGGCTGTCAAACAAGTCTTTGCCACTCTTGGCATTCCCAAGAGGACCTCTCTTGAAGCTCTTAGCAGTTGGGCTGTTTCCTAACAAGACAGGTGATCCCTTATGTATCTCACTGATTTTTAAGTTCTTAGTATACTTTCAACATGAATTGGAATTGAATAATAAATACTAAGTAGTACTCTGCCTACATAAACAACAGAAAGGTCCTAATTCATCTAGAAACTGACCAGCTCTAAAAATAAATATGCCTGATGCTTATAGCTTGATTATGAATGTTTGCTGAATTTTTAAATGGATGAGATGTTGGTTAGGGCATGTAGCTGGTGAGATACCACAAGATAATCACAAGCTGAAATGAGAACTATGGAAGCTACAGATGGAAATACCAAAAAGGCAATAAAAATACAAATGATTGTGATCCAGATACAGTGGTGCCTCGCTTAACGATGTTAATTGGTTTTAAAAAATCGCTATGGGAAAACATTGCTAAGCGAAACACCATTTCCCATAGGAATGCATTGAAAACCAGTTAATCCGTTCCAATGGGAACGGATTACCGCCCTTAAGCGAAAATCGCCATAGGAAACATTGCTAAGCAAAACAATGTTTCCCCCATTGGAATGCATGGAAGCCTATTCAATGCATTCCAATGGTTTTGCGATGTCTGTTTTCGCTATTTCTAAAGTGTCTTAAAATGTTCAAAAACTGTTTTAAATGCTTGGGATCGTTAGTGCACCTTGTAAAACCTTTGCAAACTTCATTTGGCTTTGTTCTGAGTCTTTGTTAATTTTTGGTGAATTTCCCCCCCCATTGGAATGCATTGAACTGCAGGTTTGACAGATGTCAAACGGGCACTTCAATGCATTCCAATGGGGGCGAAAAAAATTCACCAAAAATTAACGAAGACTCAGAACAAAGCCAAATTAAGTTTGCAAAGGCTTTACAAGGTGCACTAACGATTCCAAGCATTCAAAACAGTTTTTGAACATTTTAAGACACTTTCGAAATAGTGAAAACGGACATCATTAAGCGAAACAGGGGGACTTAAACTGTCATCGCTAAGCGAGGCAAGGTCCCAAACATCGCTATGCGAAATTTCCCCATAGGGAACATCGCTAAACAGAGCGCAAAATCACTCCAAAGACCTCATCGCTAAGCGAATACATCGTATCTAAATTATCTGATTTTCTTAAAAATGCAGCTCTCAGTTGTTGGTGAAGTAGAACAACCAGACTACCAGCAAACAATGGGTGGAAATTCCTTTTCCTGTATCTATAATCTCAGCTGTGTTCAGTTTAGCTCTCTGTATTCAACACTGTCAGTGAAAGAGCATACAATTCAGACAAAACTAAAATCAACTGCAGACATTACTTTTTCCCAAGAGGCTAGACCATCAGACGGCTGTTTCTTTTACTGAATTACTCATAAAATGTTGTACTAGATTTATTTACCAACCTAAAAGTTGGAGTCAATTCATTTGATCAGTGCTGAACCCATCCATGTTCTGCAAAGCCAAAATTTACCTTTTTTTCTGATCTCCCATTTCCACCTGATACTATAACAGCTTACTGAATGGAGCAAATAAAAATAACAGATGGAAAAACAAAATCAGAGAAGGGGGCAAAAGAATGGCCATCAAAGGTTAGATCAGATAACCAAGATGAGCTATTTTCTTAAATTTCAAAATATTCAATAAGAAGTACAAATCTACTTTGTTCCCAAACATACACCACAATACCTCTTAAATTGGTTACTCCCTCCCAGAAGCTAATCCTTCTCTCTGAATATGGGACTTCCACTCTACCTCCTCTTGTGTTACACTAGGTACCAAAGTATTTTCTCACCTCTATACTGCCTTGCCTTTGAGGTACTGTGGTGCCCTGCTTGACAACGATAATCCATTCCAGGAAAATCGCTGTTAAGCGAAATTGTCGTCAAGTGAAAAAAAAAGACAATTGGAATGCACTGAAAACCGGTTAATGCGTTCCAATGGGGGAAATACCTGCTCGTGCAGCAAAGATCCTCCATAGGGCGGCCATTCTGCAATCCCTGTCTTGCGGAAACAGCTCCGGAAAACAGCGGGGAGCCATTTTGCGAACCGCCAATCAGCTGTTTTTAATCGTCATCTTGCGAACAATCAGTTTGCGAAACAGGGACCTAATCATCGTAAAGTGAAAAAAAACCATAGGAACCATCGTTTTGCGATCACTATAGCGATAGCGAAAAACTCGTCGTCAAATGATTTCGCTGTCAAGTGGGGTCGTCGTCAAGTGGGGCACCACTGTACAACAACAACAGTAGGCCATCTGTCTCAACAAGAAGCACAAAGCTTGACACTTTGCTGCACTGATCCTCAATCTAGCTACTATTTCTAAAATTGCCCAAACACAAATTAATCCTCTTGAATTCAATTTCACTTGAATGTGGGGCTGGAGTGGTTAGAGAACAGCAAAATATCTTGTTTGACTGCTGTATTATTCATGTTACAAACCTGGCAGAAAGGGGATGATCCTTTGTTTAGGGTCCTTCTGTCCTCCTTCCATTGGGAATTTGTCCAACATTTGCATCTTTAAAAAAAAAGCAGAGGAGGGGGAGACAAAAAATTAAAATAGCCTCAGAACAAACAATCTGAACACATGCAGAAATCCACAAATTAAACAAAGACAGCGGGAGCTTCAAACAATATTTAACCCAGTCTATCACAGTTCTAAAATAATAATAATAAAAAGGCAATAGCGGAAGAAAGCTAAACATAAGATAGGAGGAGGAAATTGCAGCAAGACAGAGCTATATTGATGTTTTAATAGGATCTAAATTGGTGACTGGCTTCTCTCCCACTCACTACTTGTTTTTTTTCCCCCCATTTCACACTGGGTCCCACAATTATGCTTGTCCAACACCTCATGGTGACTGCTCAGCTATTTAGATGAGCCCAAGGCTTACTCCTGATACTGAAGCTACAGAGGGGGAGAGACATATCCCCTTCCTCTACCCAGGCCTACAATATTGGGGGAGGGAGAGCAAACCACTACAATGGGGTCTTGACTTACGAACGGCCCGAGTTACAAACATTTTGACTTACGAACCGCTCTCATAGGAAAATATTGACTTGACTTACGTACTTAGATTTGAGTTACGAACTGAAAAAAACTGAAAAAAACCACGTGGGAGGCAGGGAAAGTGCAAAATTTGAACTTTCAGTTAACTGGTGGCCAGTGAAAAGGGTGCCTGTCTGCTTCCTCACTCCTCCCAGCGTTTAGAGAGTGCATTGGGAGACAGTCTTCAGACTGCCTGGTACTGCCTGGACTGTATTTTCCCTGCCTTCCCTGAACCTTTCTTGACCGAAGGAAAAAAGAAACAAAATATCCCCCTCTAGTGGTCGAAGGCAGAATAGCAGCTTCGCATTAGTTTCTATGGACGGAAAAGAGCAGATACGGATCAAATGGTTTTCAATGCATTCCTATGGGAAATGCAGATTTGACCTGAGAACTTTTTGACTTGAGAACCGTCTTCCAATACGGATTAAGTTCTCAAGTCAAGACCCCACTGTACATCCTGTAGACCCAGATTCAATCTATAACACTGCCAGAAAAAAATGTTCAAAGCAGAAATGCTAAGGAGTCCATATCCGTTAAAACATAACAACAAACTACTAAATGCACTAGATAGATGTTTAACCAGGATTCAGTTAAGGAACATATGGAAGACTAGGTTGGCTATCTTTCGAAAAAAGCAGAAACAGAGCAGTAAGACAAGAAATACAGTATAACAATACAGGACCCCAAGTCCACTAAGAGCCTCTGTGAGCCAGGGATTACAACTGTCTTTCCACATAACTTGACACATTTGTCCTGAAATAAGTCTGTTGACAGGTGCCAAGAGCAGTGTACAGTTTTCAGGCTTTCTTTCTGTCCACACACACTTTAGATGAAATCAGGGTAGATAAAAATCAGTGATTATTTTTTCAAAAGTTAATTTAAATCAGTCTAAATGTAAAAAAAATTAAATTTAAATTGTCAAAAATTCTGATTTTATTTTATATCAATTTGATTTAAATCAAATCCATCATGGATGAAATGTTCATAAATGTGTATGTATGTTTATACTGTGTATATACTCTCTCTGTACACACACACACACACACACACACGTATATGTGTGTATATGTGTGTGTGTGTATGCCTCACAGTGTTGAATTTTGTGAGTTTACACACATTGGATCAGGTGTGAGTATAAAAACCACATAGATCACAATATTCTCCCTTGATAATATATGTGTATGCAAGTAGTAAGAATAATAGTTCATAATAAATAGCAAATTTTAAGAACATCTATTTTATAT